AGCGAAGTGTGAATGACTGGTAGCATTGGTCTGATAGAGTTGCTCCTGCACTAGTTTGGTGCTGTCCTTTCTTAAAGTAGAGCTTTGGTTCAGACTTCCCATTGTCCTCGATGCTTGTTATTTATTCTTGGTTACCTTAGTCTGTGGATCAGGGTTAAACTGTAGTGCAGTGGGGTATTAAAAGATCTTTGCTGTTCAGCAATTGCTTCTCAGAGTTGATTGATTGGATTGGGTACAAACATATTTCTGGTTTCCACCCATAGGCATTTAAGGGAGAAGAGCTATATGTAGCTTGAGCGTAGAGCAGCTCCTTGGTCTCAAGGTTTCAATTCCTGATATCTCCAGATAGGGCTGGGAAGGGTGGAGAGTTGCTGCTGTCAGTGTAAGCGAAGGATGGTGACAGCTGAATATCATGAATCAATAGCCTGGTCCAGTGTAAGGCAAGCTTATCACAAGTTTAAGAAATATGGGCCCTAGTGGGAGTTACCTGCTTTTCTGTTCTGCTTAGTCAACAGGAATCCAATTCTCAGCAGCCTTTTTTTTGAGACTCCTGGAGCACTTGTCATCTCCTGTATTATTTAGTTTTATCCTCCATTCCCTTCCAGAAATAAGAAAACTCTTCTGTCTTATTTATATACACAATGCGCCCATTTTATTCTGAGAGTGAAGACAATGTACACTTAAAGGATACAGCACTGAATTCAGGTCTAAAATTATATGATGTTGAGCAAGGCAAGCCATATTCCTCATTTCTTGTTCTTTCAACATAGAACCTGTCTTGAGAAATGTTTCACTATTGGAAATTGGGACTCAAGGCAGCAGTTTTCCTTGCAAGTTGACCTAAGCTGAGGTTTGAATTCATGTTTTATCAGTTAGACCACTTACCCATCAGCCAGGCCCCTGTCTGTCCGGCAAAACTTGGAACAAAGGAATGGTCAACTTAGTTCCAAGCAGAATGCAAGGGGTCCAGACTATACCTTCAGACAATTCAAGCATCTATTGAGAAATGTTATTTTTATTTTGCAATCGGAAGCTAGTTCTATAACTCACATAGCAATTGTATGTTTAGGAAAAGGTTCAAAGATTGATCTGATATTATTTCTTCTCTGTTGTGTCAAGTCAGTTGGAGAGCCCCGGTTTAACCAGTTTCTTTGCCTTTACAGCCTGCTGAGACGACTGATCACCCTAATTTCTCAGCATGCTACCATCCTGGCCTCTAATGAAGCCTTCAAGAAGCAGGCCGAAGGAGCAAGCGATGCAGCCAAGAAATATATGGAGGAGAATGACAAGCTGAAGAAGGTATGGCTGTGAGGTCCTGAGAACTGAAATAGAAGAGTTCACTTGGCTTGGTTATAGACATGCTTGCTGACTACTTGAGAGTCATCAAGGACTTCTGGGTTCCCAGAGTTAAACTAGCCTACTGAAAGCACTGAAGTTCCCTGTAATGGAAGCTGAGTAAGAAACTCTTCTCTCTTATACAGGCAACATGATGTATATGTCTCTGGGCATCATCCCATCTTTTATTATTATGATCATCTCTTTATTATGTTATATTGTTATTGCTGTTTAATTTTTAATAACAAGATTCTACTTTTCCTCTAGGAGCAACCTAGGATGGAACACAGCACAAATCAATTTAAAAAGGAAAACAAAAGCATGTATCACAAATATATAGCTTTAATTGGGACATCAACTCAGATATTCCAAAGGACATACTACATCCCAAAGCCATAGGAAAACAGATATGTTTTTACTTGTCTAAATGCACAGCGATGAGTAGGCTGGCCCACATTTTTGCTTTCTGGAAACAGAGCTCTTGTGACTTTTCTGTCACAATGATAATCTGATGCTGTATCTGTCCCATGGACTGAATTATTCATGCTGAAACAGTGTCATGGCAGGATCTGGAGAGCCATGTTATTTCCCTTCCCTACTGGCTATCAAGAAAACTAAAGGGAAAAGCACAGCCTTTTTAGACAAGGGTGTGAAGACGTTCTCCATGTTAAAATATATGGCACAAGTATAACACAGCTGCATAGTTGTCCCTTTTTCTTTTGAGGTTGGAATCCGGTATGAGGTGGCAACTTCACAATATGTGAATATAACAAGTGTTAGAAATGTGTTTCAGTGAGTAGAGGAAGCTCAGTGAAGCATTTCCACTCATTAACCAGCTCATTATACACACCGGAAGTGTGTGTTTGGATGCTGCGCTAGAAATTATTGCTTTTAATTTTCATGTTGTTTATTGAAAGATGAGAACTGGGGAGATAGGAAAGGTTTTGATATAGAAAACATGTATACTATTTGCATAAATTATATATGAATTAAAATAAATGTAAAGGATCATATAGTACAGTTTTGGGGGTGGTTGCATGAAGTATTTTTGTTTTTCATGAACAAGAAAAATTACACACACACACACACACACACACATGCATAAGTATAAATCCATATAACCTTTGAGCAATATGGTCAGATATTTTTGGAGCTGTTTTGTTTATAATTTGGTGCTTTTCCCCTTTTTATCGTGATTAAGGATCACACTGTATCCTTAATACAGTTGCAGTACAATACACGTCAGAGACTTGCATATGACAAGCTTGTTCAGATCTAGGCAGGCTTTTGAAATATTTAGCCTCCTGTATAACTGGTAGGGAAATACTCCAGCACTATATTTCAGTGCTGAATAATCTTTTTTAAATTAGTTTTTAAAATGTATATGCATGGATTTGCCATAGTTCTCATGCCTCTGTTGCTGTTTAGGAATGGGTAGTGTGGAGTTTTTAGATCCCAGAAAGCTAAATCTGTCCCTCTGCCTGGGTGATTCTGACACTGATGGGTCGATCTCTGTGCTATCGTAAAAGTTATTTTGAGATTGTCCCTCATTTCACAAGTGTCTTGGCATGCTCTGGCTGGGAGGCGTGCTGCGCTGAGGAAGTGCAAATGTGGTGTTCCTATTGGGCAGCAAGTGGCACACTTCTGTGGATCTTGCCCTGGGGCTTCAGGGATCTGATTTATTGGTGCACTTTCTGCTTGGCATTGTAATTATATAAGGCTTTCTGTCACTCTATACACCAGGTCCCTTTTTATGGCCGTAACCTCACCATTGGGGTTAATCACTCGCTGAGGACTACTGTCCTTTTTTCTTCCAAGAATACTCTGTGGGTGATCTGACTCTATGTGACTGCTGTAGAAGCAAATGTCAAGCATGCAAAGCTCCTGGCACTGCAGTCTCTCTTCCCATGAGGACACCTAAATGGGAAAATGGGAGTATTTTTTACAAGGGTTAAAGACAGTGTTGCCTGAGCTTCTAAGAAACTAGAACCCATTTTGCTCTTTACACCACTGTACATTTTTGTAAAATCAGAAGATATCCTGGGAGGAAAAACGACTTTGTCAGTAGAAGAGAGGATGTGGTCTGCTCTCATTGGTAACAGCTTTAAGAAAATCCACTTCCTATCATCCCTTTGAATCAGAAGCTCTGGGGACTGAGCCTGGCAGAGTATGTGCCTATCAATTAGCTGTAATCTCTTTGTGGTTCTGATTCTGCTCCAATGGAAACAGAAAAGCAATGGTTGGCAGGTGGTGACTTTGCTGACTCTTTGCATCCAGGTACTAGAGTGATTCACTGGAGAGAGAAGAAGAGAGGATAGAGCTACTGTTGCCTCTGCAGCCTGGCTTTCTGACTCCTCCTTCAATTTGATTATCAAAATGCATCTTGCCCCAATTAACTACTTCATTCTTTCAGCAATCCTCTTTCTCCTGGCAGATGGCAATGGAACACATCGCAATCCACTTTTGCAAGCATGTATCCGCAGAATTGCATGGAATCACCTGTAAGACTGGTCAGTCAAGGGAAGCACCTCCTTTGCATGTCCTGTCTTCACATCCTGTTTTCCAATTGTAGTTAAGCTTTGAGGGCTGTCCCTCTCAACAAATCAGTGACTCTTCCTTTAAGGCAATTTTCCCCATAGCCATTGCTGAGAATTCTGGGAGCTGAACTCCACATATCTGGAATTTATTAAATTTTAGGGAGGGAAATGGGTAGACAAAACAGTTGAGTCCTGTTTATGCTGGGAGTTTTCTGTTTCCATGGCGAGCAGAGTGTATGGGCATGGAAACTCTTGTAAGGGTCAGAGGAGTGATGAGGATAGGCATCTTAAGGATAATTATTTCTTGAACTTTCATGCTTTACAGTAATAGTAGAGAGAGAGACAGATGAACTCTAGGTAATGAGGGCCAGTTTGGTACTTCTGTCACTTTGGTTTTTTTTACAATCTTAAATTTTAAAAAATCTTAAACTGGGCAAGTGAGGTGGTGGCCAAAAGCCTCTGCTTGCTCTTTTTCACTTGCCTAATTCTGATACCATTTTGACTTAGGGAAGCTGCTTCACTGTTCTGCTCATTCCTTAACAGAAGTGACAGCAAATCTCTATCCTTTGCAAGTAACTGCAGCCTCTTACAGAGCCTATTGCTTTATTATTGTGTAAGCTTCTGAATTATGCTGAGTCTCTGACTTGGAATATTGCTACAGCAATGAATGGTCTTCCTGATGAATACGGTACTTTGTAGCCTGTACAAAAAGGGAAAAAAATCAAAAATCTGTTTTATGTATCAAACAAATTCAGAGGGCACCAGGCTGAGGAAAGGTTGTTGCTAAAGACAGGCTTGAAATCCAGCTGCAAAGTCTTGATACCAGCTTTTCCCCCTCTACGTGGAAAGAATAACAAGGAAACATTTGAGCTCTGCCAACCTGTGACCTTGCCCTTTCCAAATGTGTTGGGGATCACCAAGAATTGGCTGTAGCTGAGCCCCCTAAGGCAGTTGTTCCCCTGAATCTGGCATTCCTATTCCTACTTTTATAAAAATGGAAGCCTTTGCCATTTAGGATGGGCAAAAATATTAGCTTCAGACTTTAATGGAAGAATTGGTAGAATTTTGGACTGGTCTGTGTATTTTCCCCTTTATATACTCATTCTGCCTTCAGTATCTACTCAAAATCAAGTCCCCCACCCTTTTAAAGTTTCAGTACATTCAAATTGCATGTGGATAAACCTCAAGAGGGCAGCCTAGCCCTATATCTGGCTGCTGCAAGGGCATAGTCTTCAACGTGGTAGGATTTTTTATGAAGTTAATTAAAATGACATCATTAGCCGATAGCCTTGACCTCCTGGATAGCAAGAGGCTTTGAACATTGTGGCTGTAAATATGATGTAAAGATAAAGCTGTAGTTGTGAACATGGTGTAAAATAAATATGCAGATGTTGTTCAAGGTTGGTGATTATTGCAGACCGTTCTTTGTGTTTCAGATTGGCAAAGCTAGAGATAACAGCAGACGGCATTGGCTTATATCCTCTTTTGTTTCCTTTCCCTCCTGCAAATGTTGCCTTTTCTGAAACCTTCAGATAGACTTTGTGTTGCAGGGTTAAAATAGCCATTTTGGGTTCACGTAGAAGTTTACGTTGCTCTTTTCTCACTTTTGTTTTCTTCTGTTTGGCCTAGACAAAAAGGTTGTGCTCTTCTGACTATCCTTTTGAAGCTTCCCATTTGTGACTGAAGTCACTTTAGTATCCTTTGGAGCTACTTCTTGTGTTTTCTTATGCCAGACTGGTCACAAGAAGAAAGGAAGAGCTATCCCTAGACTGTCCTTCCCAAGGCCAGGAGAATGTGCTGTGGAAGAGTTGATGGGCTTGGAGACGTCTTTTGCTTGCATTGCCTGTTCTTGTTATATGGGTGTGGAGGATAGTGGTGGTTGTGGCGATGGTGTGGAGCTGAGGGATGAAAGAATCTTTGCAGTACACTGTGGTCTTGCAATATACCCAAGTACTGTGACTTGGTTGGCTCTTCTAACATAGATCCTGGTTAAGTAAAGCCCAACTCCGTATTTCCTTGAAGACTTTTTTTTACTGCCTCTTCCCCCTATATTGTAGGAAGCATTTTTTGCATGAAAAAAAATGCTATGTGTAGAAAAAAATGTTATACAAAATTCTCACAAGAGGTTCACACTCCTATGGAATGTCCTGACTCTGCTTATATCCTTTGTCCTTTATTTCCAAGAGCCTACATTCCTCCCCCTCCATTACTGATGTGCAAGTCATGGCAAATAACTGATGGATTTCAGCCAACTCTTCTTCTTCCTGCAATTTCCCCAACATACCTGACAGCCACTGAAAACCGTTCTTCCCATAGGTGTCCCAACAAAAAATGTATTGCATAAACAGATTTCATGTGGCAACCTCAAAAAAAAAAATCCTCCCTCTTGTTTCGCTGCCTTAGGAGTTGCAAAAGGGTTTTCTTTTGCATAGGATAAAACTGTTAATACAAGAGCCTGTTGGATTAAACTAAAGGCCCAAATAAGGCAGCTATTTTGTACATCATTTGTAGCAGAAAGGTGGGTTACATTTATTAAATACATAATTCTTCTTCTGCCATGACCAACCAGATACTACTGGGAAACCAGCAAGCAGACAGGAGGACAACAGTCTCCCATTTGAGTTCCCCAGATTACTCTGACTTGGAAATAGTGTATAGCTATCATGATTAGTAGCCAATGCTAGCATCTTATCCATGTGCTGTCTATTTTGCGTTAATCCAAGTCAGTCTGTACAAATTACTAGCCCTTCCAGAACAACCTGCCTATCAATACAGAAACCAAGTAATCTGTGACCAGAAAAGGAAGGGGAAATACCTTTTTCAAACTGCTTGTTCCTTAGGCAAGATTTAGTTATCTTATATAAGCCTGCATGATTTCAAGAAAAGTTATGTCAGAAACTCTACTCCAGTTCCCAGTATTTTTAAGAAATACAATTCCCATCTATTTTTGAAACCTTACAAAGCCAGGGACCTAGTTTTCAGGTCAGCCTCTCTCTGGCCCATCTTCTCCTTCTGATGTCAGCTGCAACATGGCCAGGTTTCAGAGGAAGCTTCTAAGCAAAACCAGGAGACAAAGGGGTGGGAGTCCTGTTTTTCCACCTCACCTAGGCCAATGCATGCAAACATTAGAGAAGCTGCTGCACATACAGCTGAAAACTCCAAAACAACCTTCACCAACTAGATGCCCCCCAGACATGTTATGACTTCTCTGGAATATAAAGCATTCTTTCCTTCCTGTGGCATCCAACCCATTTTTTTTTTGTTCTAGAGAGTTCACCAAATGAACAATGTAAGCTTACGATTGAAGCGGAAGAGCATTTGGTGCAGAATGAGAAACTGAACTTTCAAGAAGAATGGAGAGAGTTGGATGAACCTTTTTAAAAATGTTTGAACTGAGCCTATATTTGGGGAGAGGAGGGAGCCTTTATTTTATTTATTTATATTTCAAATTTAGATACCGCCCATCTCACAATAAGTGACTCTTAAGTATAACTGAGAATGTGCACATGAAGTACTGTGATAACTTGAGTGCTTACTGAAACGAACTTTGTCAGAGTCACACCTAGAGACTAGGCACCTAAGTGCTGCTTTCCCCAAGCAATTTGCCATAAGTTCAATTATTGTCCCTCTGTACTGCCTGCAATAGCTTTTTTGGCTGAGAGTACAAAAAGATACCACATTGGTGTATATTCTTACCCTCGTGTTGCAAGACTTCTAAAGAAATCTATTCATAGCTTTCCAGAATTACTGCTTGTGCCTCTATCGTAATGATTTATCTACCTGTGGCCTCTGAGGGCATCAGCTGCATCGGAAGAGAGGTTGGCAGGAATGCTGATTCAAACAGATTGAGGGTGCAGCATTGGGTGGGGGAGGCACTGCGTTTTTTTCAGTCTGATTATAGTTGATGGAAGTAATCGCTTCTGTGTGATTTTGGGTGGGAAGGGAGTAGGATTTTGTTTAGATGTCACACTTGTTTGAAAGCATGTAATGCACATTCACTTCTATTTGAAGAATCTACAGGTAAATACACCTCTTATGTGGTGTACGTGTCTGAATTTCAATGGTGCAGTTTCTGGGGCCCTCAGAAAAAAGATGCGGGACAGCATATGAGCCTGAGGGTTGGGTAAGATTTGGCTGCTTTGAGAGAGAGACTGGGTTCCTCTGAATTCTAGGTTCTCCTGCATAAGCAAACAGCCCAAACTGTTTCAGGAAAGGTGGGGAGACTTCCCATTGGGGAGCCTGATCTCAGATGGTTGGAGCTCCATCCTCCCAACTTACTCATCCTGTGTGCTTATTCAATATCTCTTCTCCCTTTATTATCAGGAGTTGAAGCTGGCAGGGGTAGAGGTGGCTGACCTGGACATCAAAAGCATTGGGACTGAGGAGGAAAACCGAGTTCTGCAGGCTGAAGTCAAGAAGCTAAAGGATGAGCTGACTTCTACCAAAAAAGGTGGGAGGTGAAGGCTTCAGGCATTGGAGAGCTCACGTAGATCACCCTGATGCTTATATACTTTGTTTACGTGGTAGATGCCATTTTTCAGCAATTTAGAGGAAGAAGGAATAACCTGCTTGAACAGCTCTCTTGTTCTCTCTCTGTTCCCCACTCCAAATTTTGCACAGCTGGCTCTTAAGGTTGGAAGCTACTGAAGGGGTGATATAGCATCTATTTATAACTCCAGAACTTGTATACCCATGTGCTTTCCTCATGTGCAGTCCTGAACTGTCCTGTTCCTCCTCTTGGCTTTAAATAGTCCACTTGGCATCAGACTTTGGGAATAGGTGAGCCATTCCTGGAGCATTTGTTTGTACACACTTTGCTCTTCTCCGGAGTCATGCGATTAGCATTTTTTTTGTCCTGCAGGTTCTGTCCAGCTGTAAAATTAATCACCTTCTGTATTAAATAGGCCCTAAGGGCGGGGACCACTTTGTGAGATACTCCCTTCCAGCTCTTTATGGTCCTTTTTCTTTCAGCAATGTGCGTGTCCAGTGCTGGCAAGACACTGGGGCTTTTTTCACATACACTTGTCTAAAACTATATCCCAGCCTCTTTTGGAGGTAGTTTGTCCAGTTCCTTCTTCCTCTTCCCCAGCTGATCTCTGGCTTAAGCCGATGTAACTTCCTTTGTTCACACTAATCCACGCAAGGCCACGAACTCTGGCCGCTGAGCAAAAGAAGCTGAACCGTGGAACGCGGCTGAATAGGAACCTCTCCTGCAGGAACCCCTTTGGAACAAAGGGAAAGTTTGCGAGAACACAAAAGCTAGGTGGGGAGGGTGGCTTCTTTTTTGGTTCTTTGGCAAAAGAACAAAAGTAAGGGCAACTTTTCAGTGGTCAGGTGCTAAACTTGATGACAGCCTTAGCAGACTCTGCTATATCACATATGGGACTGTATCCAGGATATTCCTTTTTTTTCTAGATTTTCTTTTTGAGGGAGATGGTTTCTCTTTTCCTTAACTTATTAAAAAGTTACTAATTCTGTCATGGAGCTTATGGTAAAGATATTTGTGTGGCAGACTGAGCCACTCAATTCTGATAATCATGATTTGAAAGGCATTTTGGGGGCCGCAAAAAAGGGGCTCATGAGTGTTACAGGCTTCATCCGACAGCCAGACTGTATTTCCCTCTCTCATCCTTGCTTACCTTCTTGTTTTTCTCTTATGCATATTTGGTTACACATCCATATTCAAGAACAAGAACACAGTTTTGCTGAAGTTTCAGTTTACGTTATTCTGGGAAAACCCCACATAAGTAATAAAGACACTCCCATGGAGCCTGGCGTGCTTGCAGAAATAATACAGTGTAAGCACTGAATGTGAGTAAGAGGGACAAGGCAGGTGAGGTAACAAGAGAGTTCCTTGTGATGAGGACGTCTTCAGAGACCAGCAGCGGTGGCCTTGTAAATGAGTGTTGCTTCCCACAAGAATGTCCTGACTGCTAAACATATAGAAGTATTTTAGGGGGGCTGTTTGTGGTACCAGGGAGCAGCAAGAGGCATTCATTGCGGTGGGCTGGGTGGCTCGAGGCACCAACTGATCCTTAATATCCCCCCTCCCAGCCAGGGGAAGTTGGAGACAGGTGGTCCACAAACCTCGCAGAGCTGTAGCGCAACGTCCTTTCTCCCCTGCTCCTCCCTGACATGTGACTACTCTTCTCAGTTGCAGTATCAGCTGAGCAGCTTCTCTGGATCCTATATACAGGGTTGGCAAATTGAAGGGGTTGACCTCAGCGCTAGAGGAATCCTGGAACTGAGAAGTTCTGGGTGGCAACTGACCTTTTCAATCCTGAGCGGGCTTGCATAACGCTTCGCCGTATTCTTCCATCTGCATCCAGCCCCAACTGATCAAATGGCATAGTGGCCATGCAAACGGGTAGTACCAGATTGTGCATTCAGGAGGTCTTCTAGATGGACGTGCTTTTTTGCATTATTTTTAGGACACTGGGTGATCTAGTAGTGAGGTGGAACAGCTGCTTGTGCCTGCCTGGGTGAAGTGGCGTGTCTCTTTCCAGCATTGCCTTTTATAGCTGTCAAAGAAAGTAGCATGCCTTCCACCTAATGCTGAGCCCTCAGCTAGGGCCCAGTTATTACGAGGCAAGAAAGCTTCATAACTAATCGGGCTAATTACTCACATGCACTGGTGCGGTCTAGTGGCAAAAGTGTTCTACCAGGAGCGGGGAGACCCAAGTTCTTGTCCGTTCTCAGCCGCGGGAGCCCACTCAGTTACTTCGGGCCAGTGATTCTCTTTCAACCCAACCTACCTCATAGGGTTGTTGTTTGGGGGAAAATAGGAGGAGGGAGTACAATGTATGCTGTCTCGAGCTCCTCTATGAAAGGCAGCATATAAATATTCAAATTCAAATCCTTTTTACAGTCAATAGCCAGATGTAGGTACAATTCTCAACAATGTTACGGGGGGAAAGGGGAGTGGGATGCAGGGAGGTAAGCAATTTACACAAAAGAGAGGAGAAAGAGGAGGAAAAACCAAAACAGCAGGTAAGAGCTGGAGTACCAGGCCCTATTTAAAGTAGGTAAGGCAGCATGAATTGCAAGAAATGCTTAACTCTTAAGTAAGTACAATACTATATGGCGGAATGGCAGACTAGTAAAATATTAAAATATTAATATAAATAAGATTAGAATATTTAGATAAAACAAAATGTGATAAAATGCAGAAGTATATGCTTAAATAATAAAATTCTATCTATTTTGAGTATAATTGATTTTTTAATTAAAAATTTTAAATACAATAAAAGTATGAAAAAAGAAAAATAAAATATAGAATTATGACTTTTGCCCTTCTTTCCATCGAGTAGTTGCCATCTCACTCTTTCCCCTCCCTCTTTTTCTCCTCCTCCTTACTGTATAATTCCCTTCCCCTTCTCTTTTAACCCTTTTTAATCCCCAAATCCATAAATATCAATTCAGTCTTTTCTTTCAACAAAAAGTCCATATATTTCCAGTCTTTCAAGAAGGGTTTTATCGTTTTTTCCTTAACCAAACTGGTCCGGCTTTGAGTGTAATTGATGATGCTCAGTTAATACCTACTTAGTTGTTGTTGATAATACAGTAATAATTTAGGGTTATATAAGAGGAGGAAGGGAAAGGAAAGGAAAGGAAAGGAAAATAAAATGATCCAAAGACTTTGAGTTATCAGGTTGAGTCTGAAGTTAACTGTTGCTTAGTTTTAACTGCTGCAGTGACAAATTTAGCTACCGTGTGGGTGATGTCACGATTTGAGTCTGAAATGAAGTAGTAGATATAAAAATCACCCATTTTCCCCAGCACTTGCAGTAAAAGGGGAGTTACACTGTTGTTTCAAAGATCCTTGTAGAAGTTACAGTAAAGGAAGAGATGTTGGAGTGTTTTGATTTCCCCAGAGTCACAAGGGCACATACTTTAAGTAATTTAATTTATCCAAGATTGCTCTGTTCACCACCTTCACGTCCTCAGAGGAAGGGAACCCATAAAATCACAAGTGAGTAGCAAATTTCCAATGTTCGTCCTTGGTGCTGTGAGGCAGGATGGGCATTCTAATCTTGGAACAGTTAAGGAGAGCTGCCTTCCAATCAGGATCCAAACTAGAAAAGCTCCAGTTCAAATAACTTATTCAAATTACGATATTTCCACCCTCTCAACAGATTGGCTGTGAATGGTAGGTGAACTCCCAAACTTCCTAGCCAGGCTAGTCTTAGCCTTGCTGCTGAGAATTCTGGGACTTGTAGTCCAACCTACCTGGAAGGCATTGAATTGCTGAAGGCTTCACTAGGACTTCATATTTCACCTCCCTCATGGAAATTTAACTTAGATGTTCATTTATTTAACATTACTTACAACCCACTCCATCCCAGAGGGTTCTGGGTAATATGCAACAAATATTAACAATCAAGCAGAAACTCGAAAACAAAAACCTGTATCACAATAAAAACTTTGTCAAAAAGCCTGAGACTAGTCTGAATATTGCAGGTAACATTGTTAAAAAGAGATGTGAAGAAGCTGGGGAGATCTACTTCCATTATCTACCATGCTGTGCAAAACTGAAAATCTGCAGAGTGTTGATTCAGAATCTTATTTCACTTCTACTCTCCCTCCTAGAAGGGAGATATGAAATAACTTTCGTCTTAACTATACACCCAAAGCATTTTGGGCTAAAAGAGATATATTAGGTCTAGTACTTTCTATCAAGTATGCTACAAGAAGTATTATCTGGTAGAACAGCCACCCCTTGGTTCATATTGGCAATTGTCATGGGTTACATTATCTTCCTCTCTCCCTACTCCCATCTCATTTATGAAAAAGCAAAGAAAAATCTCTAAAATAACTAAAATAGTAATGCTTTTCCATCTCATTTTGAAAATTAGATTTTGACTGCTTATTTCAGACTTTCACAATGGTGATTTCTCTTATTTCAGAGAAAGTTTGTAAGCAATTTAGAACTATCCATAATCCTGCAGTACTGTGACCTACAGTATGATCTGAGCTTCATCTAAATTGTATAAAGAAATTTTGATTTAACAAGAAACATACAGAAAAGTGTATCATGTCATCTTTTTCTTAAACATATTTGGCTGGTATTCACTGTGTTAGAAGAAGTATGAAAAACTTAAGATTTAGTTCAGCCAAATGTTTCCGATACCTGTTGCTCAGTCCTACATGTTCACTTGGAAATAGTTTGGCCCATTCTTCTTTACAAAGTGCTTCAACTATTTTTGAGTAGTCTGTTCTTGGCTTAAGGTCAGGGCTTTGATCTGGCCGTCTCAAAATACAAAAGGTTTTCTGCTTCAGCCATTCTGTGGTAGATTTACTTGTGTGGTTGGAATTATTGACCTTACTTTGTTTAAACTTCACCTCATGGATGGATGCCCTGATATTCCCCTGTAGAATTGCTGGTACAATTTAGAATCTATTGTTCCCTCAAAGATTGCAGCCTCAGGATCTGGATAGCTTGCAAAGTAGTTCCAAACATGATGCTCAGACCACCATGCTTTATGGTTGCAATGAGGTTCTTTTGCTGGAATGCAGTATTTGGTTTCTCCAAACACAGTGTTTCTCATTAATGCTAATAAGTTCCATTTTCGTCTCATCTGTCTGCAGAACATGGTTTTAATAGCCTGCAGGATCATCCAGGTAGTCTTAGGCAAATTTTAGACACACTTTGTCCTTGGTGTTCTTCCATGCCCATCACTCTTAATGTTTTCCATGTGGAAGACATCAGACAATACAAAAATGGCCACAGTTTTTTTGCCATTACCCAGAGATTCTTTTTGACCTCCTGGAATATAGTATGCCTTGCTTTTGTGGTGATTTTTGTTGGAAGGTCAATCCTAGGAAGAGTAACAGTGATGTTGCATTTTCTCCATTTGTCACTACAGTATCTGCTTTGCCATAGACTGATTGAGACCAAAGAAAGACTGACAATGATTTTATAGGGTTAGCAATGACCCTAACCCTTTTCAGCCTCTTGAGCATCTCAGTTCCTTTTCTAACATCTGCAGAATTCACTTTGGGTGTGATTCACTCATCTCAGGAACAGCAGACTGATGATCTGTGGGGGTTTTTTTTAGAGTAGAGGGCCCCTCAAACTCATGCTTGGCTGTCATCTTATTGATTACAACTGGAACCCTTAAGAGACCTGACTATTCTAGGACATCACATACTTTGTCCAGTAAAGACAGTGAATGTTGCCTCAGTGTGTTTGGTAAAGACATGGCACAATAGACCATTTTTTGTGTTTTGTTTAACCAGACTCTCTTTATCTATTATAGGATTTAGGTGAAGCCGATCACATTATAGGTCACAGTACTCTAGGATTAAAGATAGTATTATGGGGTTCACAAACTTTACCTCACTGTAACTGCATTCAAAATTCATCTTGATTTTTGGCAGAAGTGTTAACTCCCAACTTTTGCTGGTTCTGGATAAAACCTTCACCAGGGAAGAAACATTCTAGCTAACTAACTAACCAACCTTATGTAATTATCTCAGCTCTACAACCCTAGATAAAAGACAAGTTAATTGGCTGTTATTAAGTAATGAGTTGGTGCAAACATAGTAGTCACCTGTATAGCTGGGCACAGCTACTCGCCTGAATCCTCTACTTGTAGGAGCTTTGTGAAAATTGAAAGAGGCGGTTTGTGGAAGCCCACACAGGACAGGCAGGCTGCTGTTTTTTTGATCTGGAAGAAGCTGTGGTTTGGGATGACCTATTTTTAGTGAGGGATTCTTGGCACCCTTGCTTGCTCCAATAACTAGATGTGTGAAGATGCTGAAACTGTGCTGATATGTACCTTTTCCTCTCTTTTCCACCCAGCCCTGAATAAGGCAGACAACGAGGCATTGGCTATGCGCAAACAGGCTGAAGGATTGACAGAGGAGTATGACAGACTGCTGAAGGAACATGCCAAACTTCAGGTGCCCAGGGGAATGAACAGGGTGGGAAGAATGTGGAGATGGGAGCAACTTGAGAAGGCCTGTACTGGTATTTGTAGGAGGATATTCAGTGCCTGGTTAGGCTCTTCCAAAGCTGTAGTCCAGCTTTGCTTAGTTTTAAGGACCCCAGTATTGTCAGTGTTTGTTTGATCTGTTTGTTTGTTTGATTTGTTGCAAAGACTGTGGGACCTGGATTATAGGCAGATGACAGCAGCAGTGATACAAGGTTCTCTGGGCCCAGCAAAAATGCTGTGTCGTAGCTCCTTCTTGGGATAAATGTGATTCTTATTCTTGTCCTCCCCCAATTCATAAGTAGTTTCTCAACAGTGTTTTTGCCCTAGCTGCCTCTACAGCAGCCTTCCACACCAGCCTATGGAAGGCTGTTGTAGATGAAGCTAAACCAAACTCCCATCATTCCTAGCCAGAGTCCCCTGTAGCCATTCTGGTTGCCATCCAACCCATTGATGAGAAGGCATGCTAGAAAGGCTGCAGCAAAGGTCCTCCCTCACAGAGAATGCGGTTTCTCTTGCACACCATGAGCAGAATTAGATGGATCTATAGAATGCTGGATTGTCTGGTTGGTTCTGCACCTACCCACGGGGACACTGTAAGAGGAGAGCCGTGTTAGTCTACGGTAGCCAAAAATCAGGAGGAGTCTGGTAGCACCTTTTCTGACTAACACATTTTATTAAAAGGTATAAGCTTTAATGAATTGCAGCTCACTTATCAGATGCAGGGTGTGGGCTAGAATTTAAAGTGTGATGCAAGATTTAAATTGGGATGAGGGGGAAAGGGAGGAGGAAATAATGGTAATGGTTGGTAATGTGGATGTAGTTTACACATGAGAGATTACAAGTACCTTATCAATTGCAATGTGTTAAATACCCATTGTTTATTGAGACATCTGTTATACCCATTGGGGGTAATAGATATCCCAAATGGCATTGCTTTCTCTGCCTTATGCCTGCCCCTTGATTTCCTGCAGTCATCCTCATGTGGGAAATGAATATTCTTCCTTGTTCCTAGAGCAACAAGGAGCCTTTGGTGACTACATCTGTGTCTGGAAACGAATGCAGGCTTGAAAGTTTCAAAGTTTCAGGGGAACTGAGAGTTAGGAACCCTCTGTATCAGTTAGCCCTCTGACTGAGCCTCCCAGAAGCCCTAGATTCCTGCTTTTGCCTTAGTTTCCCCTTTAAGAACCAAGTCACTTCCCAGCTCTGCTTTCTGAGTTTTCACCCTTTGTCCTCAGCTAGCCTTCACCCACTTCAAGGTAAAATGCCTTTGAGCTGAGCCTGACACGAATGAAGTCTGTGCACTTTCCTAGGGAATAGAATTGGCTTGCCACTGGGATCTTGCTCAACTTCCTGGTCTAGCCTAAAACTCTAGGATTCTGCAGTGGTCTTCTGTCCAGAGGCCAAGCAGATGTGACTTAGCTGATCTTCCAAGCCCAGACAAGGTCAGGCACCCTGATGCTCTCCAGATATGTTGAAGGCCAACTCCTCCGATACCAAGACAGCCCAAATTCTGGGAGTGGGTGGCTTAGACAGAGAGCTTCTACAGGCCCCTTCTGGGGAACGTTCCTCATGCATTGGGACTTCCAAATGCCCCGCTTCCCTTCTGTTCCCTAAAGCAAGTCCCTTTGCAGCTAGAAGGGTTGCTGTTTTTTTGTTTTTTGTTTTTTGTTTAAAAGGAAGAGAAGACCAAAAGGAGCTCTTACAGAAGACTTTTTTCCTGTCCTCTTCAGGGAGTCCTGTGAATCCTGCCTGTACCCGTGAAATGTTGTAGGCTCATCCCTCCCAACCCTTCTCTTTCTCTCTCAAAGGGGTTGGTTTTGGCCAAGGTTAAACTGCACATCCAGCATTGCTAAGAGCTTTAAAAAAAACAACCCAGGCTTTTGTTGCCATGGTAACCTAACCCACACTAGCGGCTAGAAGGAAGACCGATGCAGCAGAGTCTTGGCTGCAGAACAGCCTGGTGGGGAGCGCCTGGGAATCTGGCCCAGTAAACATCCACCTGCTTATGTGTTGGTAGCAGCACGTAAGCAGGTCATGAGATGCTGCCACACCTGGCAGCTGATAAAAGTGAGTGGGTGGGGAAGTACAACCGTAAGGTACATACGGAAGCAGCTGAATGAGGCAGGCAGAGTCTGAGAAGCAGGGTTAGGTTCGTTCTTTTGTCCTCAGAGGGAGAGCAAAGCATGCAGAGGGACAGGCTTAAAAGTTGAGGAATGAAGATGCTGAGGCTAGGCTTAAATTGGGAAGCAAACGGCTGGACAGTTGGCCATAATGGTAGCTTGAAAGTAGTCTTTGTGCTACTGCCCTGACTCAGATAGAAGAACTTCACTCTGTCATTATTTGGGGACCAAGAACTTTAAGATAAAGTTGAAGAAGATGATTCCTGTTTTCTTTCTTCTCTATTCCTGAGATGAGGCATTGAGATAGGCTTTATTCCCAATAAAGACTTGTGGGATTCTTCTCCACTCTCACCCCCATTTCACTGGGATGCAAGGCTCAGTCATGATCATAGTTCTTGTTGGACAAGAGAGCTTGCATTCTGGGAAGCATCCTTTTGGGAGGTTTCCATCTTTTTTTGCAGCTCAGGCAGACCTGGCTAGAATTCTCTGCTTTCCCTGAGAGTTACACTGGCGGGAGGAGTCTTGACCTTGCTTGTGTGAATTGTTTGAGGTTATGTGCTGAGCAGAGTTGGAGATGTAGCATTTTAATTGGCTTGGTTCTCTGCTACTGTATGGCATAGTGATTTGGGTTACCTGGGGTTCTGCAGATACTATGGAGGATGTAAAACTTGTATAGGTACATGGGGTCATCACTCAGTTGCCTTCTTAGTCTTAAGATGAGATCACTTGCAGGGCTTTCCCCCCCCCTAGCCGTATAGTACTCAGTCCTGCAGAATGTCATCATCCCAAAGACAGCATCATTAGGATTGCTGTGAGCATAGCTGGTTCTTACATGCATTTTCTGTATGTCTCCTCTTTCCAGATCTTCTTCAGCTGCTGTCTTGACTGTATCTGCTATGGCCACCTGTTATTATTTTCTTCCTTCCCTTGTAGTCCCAGAGCACATCTGTTTTGGCTGCCAGGTCTGAGGGATGCTTTGCTTTGCCAGATGCCTAAAAATAGGGCTGTGCGTGGCTACTCAAATGGCTTTGAAGACTGGCAGCACTGAGGAACGTTGCTCTGCTTTTAATGGCCTTGCATGGCAGGTATTCTTGGGATTCCAGGAGGAGGCTCTTGCCCAGAATATGGTTGGTTGTGCCCACGACTTACGTGCCATTCAGCACTGTTCCTAGATAGTTGGTTCATGCGTAACGCTGAGATGTCTGCTGCAGTTTGGAAATGCTTATTTCTTTCATGGGACTAGAAAGCCTTACTGGGACATCCCAATGAGCCATAATGGCTTAGCGTTATGTATGAAACGGGCTAGTTTGTTGTAATACCAACCCATGGTATTGGCTAGCCCAGTGTTGTCCAAACTTGGCCATTTTAAGATGAGTGGATTTCAACTCCCAGAATTCCCCAGCCAGCCATGCTGGGAGTTGAAGTCCACTCATCTTAAAGTGGCCAGGTTTGGACAACACTGGGCTAGAGGCAGGAGGTTGGCCTCAGCCCTGGCAGAATTCCTTGATTCGTGTTGTGTGGGTTCCTTTTGAGCCTGCTGATTTGGAGTGGCCCAGAGGGGGGAACTAAAAATGTTAGGAAGCTACATGTGGCCTCACAGAGATTCCTTCTGCAATAGCTGAATATCTCCTATGGAATATGTTTTCTCTTTTTTACTCACATTTCTCTTCTTCATAGCCCCTATGCTCGAAACTGACTATGCTTTAGTCTATTTTTTTTATATTTTTTTAAATATTTTTTATATTTTTTAATATTTTGACTATGCATTGTGTCCTAGTTAGCTTTCTGTTACTCCACAGTGTTCTAGAGGTTGGGTGGGGGAAAGAGTAATGAGAGTTGGATTTTGGTTGGGTTGATGTATGGTCGAAGGTGCTGCCTGAAATGCAGTAGCCACCTATTTCTC